ATTGTAAAACGTATAAAAAAAATTTTTTTATCAATTGGATCGTCTGTGTAACATGGACGGTCCTACCTCGAGGTTCGGGTTGACCTATAACCCGACTCGACCCGACCCGTTCGGAGCACTATTCGTCATATCGAGACGACTCGAACGATATCCAATTTGGATTATTGGATCACGATATAATTTATTTTAAAGACAACTCATTTCGCTAAAGTAATTATAGTCATTGTCAAAATTATAAAATTTGTAAAATAAATTGTCTATGAAATTGCTTTCAACGAAGTAAATTATCTATGTAATGAACTTATTTGCGAATTGAATGGTTTATAATTATATACTAAATTTTGGAGCAACCCGGAGTTGCTATGGTCTAAGATACAAGTTACATGTGACGATAAGATAATCAAAAAGTCAAATTTAATTTTAACCAATCAGAATTTACTAACGCTAATAATAAACGTTCGTTATCAACGATTTAATATATCGTTTATATTATCATGCATTTTCTTTAGGAAGCATACAAAATTTATAACAGATAGTCAAATTATTGTAAATACATACGTACTTTGGCCTGGATTTGTGAAATTAATAATTAGAGATGCTTCAATCAAAGTCATTCCTTAAGCGCACAAAGAAAGGAAACGCGATCAAAGTGGTTCAAGAACATTATTTACGTGATGATATTTGGTGCTCGGTAGAGTGTTGCACACTTTGTTTGCAGACAGAACCTGTTTTAAGTACGTCTGCCTTGCTCACCAAACAAATTCCAAGACCGCATTACATTGTACCAGACACCAATGTTTTTATGAACCAGGTTCGTTTGATCTTTCTATCAACAATAAAATTTAGTATATATTATTTTGGAAACTAACTGTTATCATAAAATTAAAGATAGATGTCGTCGAACATCCAGCATTGCACGATGTTATTGTCATGCAAACTGTTTACGAAGAATTACGCCATTTGAGTTTACCAATTTACAACAGATTACGCGCATTAATAAATGATCAGAAAAAACGGTTCTATGTCTTTTCAAATGAACATCATCGGTACGTTCATTATTACTTACGATATAGGTCATGATTATATCAATTTAATTTGCTCTAATTCCTTAATTGCCTGTATTGCATTAATGAAGCGACACCTACATTCAACGATTGAAAGATGAATCACCAAATGATAGGAATGATAGAGGTCGGTTTTAATTTGAAAAAAAAAACTTTGTCAACGCGTTAGCGGAAAAATTTTTCTTATTTTCTTTGCAACATAAATATATACATTAGCGATAAGGTCTGCAGTCAAATGGTATTCTACACATCTCAAGAAAATAAATAAAGAGAACCATATTGAAGTCGTGCTCTTGACAGATGATGTAGGAAATCGTACAAAAGCTCAAGAAGAAGGATTGTCGGCGTTTTCAGGTTTATTATTAATCTAAACTTTAATAAAAAGTCTTAATTTATACTGACTTTATATTTTCTTTTCTAGTAAGAGAGTATGTTGAAGGGATGACCGACACTCCAGAGTTAGTTGACGTTCTCGAAAATTCATCTAATGTTGAAGGTGACAAAAAGGTTCCATACGAAGAAGTAAGTCTTAAGTTATATTATGTGAAGATCTAATATTTAATACTGTAATAAAAAAAAAAAAAAACCACTAATTATTATATATTTTCTAACAGCATCTTACAACCAGTCAAATCACACATGGCATTAAGAATGGAACGCTATACCAAGGAACGTTAACTATTAGCATGCATAATTATCTCGAGGCATGTAATACTTATTATTATTTTATGATCGATAGATATGATATTATAATCCATTTGTTTCTATTTCTATATTTCGAATATCAGGGTTCAATCTTTAGTAATGTAGATGGTGTAGAAACGCAGGTTATGATTTTAGGGCGTCCATGCTTAAATAGAGCAATTCAAGGAGATGTGGTAGCTGTTCAATTATTACCAAAGTCTGAATGGCTTAGAACTCCTACTGCAGTCGTAGTCGAAGAAGGTAATTCTGTCGAATATAGTATTACTTAATTTTTTTTTCGCTAACTTTACGTTTTTAAACTTTATACAGAGGAAGAAGCCAATGTAACCGCAGATCTTAAAGAGGATGGAGAACCTAAAGAACAGAACGACGATCTGGAAAGTGAGGCTCTTGAATCATCACAACCTACAGGAAAAGTCGTAGGAATTATTAAAAGGAATTGGAGACCGTATGTCGTTATAATAAATTTATATTAAATTTACTTTTTTTCATTTCACTTAGTCTTTTATTTTATTATAGATATTGTGGTTTCATAAGCAAAAAATCAGTTAAAAGCTCAGCCACTTCCACCTTTGCGGAAAATGTATTGGTAATTCCTATGGATAGGCGCATACCATATATATATATAAGAACAAGACAGGCTCAAAATTTAATGGGACAACGAATATTGGTTTCTATTGATTCTTGGCCAAAGAATTCGACGTATGTTGCTGTTTACTTATTTTATTACTTATTTACAATCCATATAACTATAATATGAATAATTAATCATAATTTAATTTATTAGGTATCCTCATGGTCATTATGTAAGAGCGTTGGGTGCTGCAGGAGATAAATCCACAGAAACAGAAGTTTTGCTTTTAGAACATGATGTGCCATTTCAGGAATTTGCTGCTCAGGTTTTGAATGATTTGCCGGTTGAAGGTGAAGCATGGAAAGTTACAGAAGTACATTTGCCTGGCCGTGCCGACCTAAGGCATTTGAATATCTGTAGTATTGATCCTCCAGGTAATTATTAAATCTGTGTTCTTTGATTATGATTAAGAAATAACCTCTAACATTCCTAAATTATAAATAACAAAGGATGTACTGATATCGATGATGCTTTACATGTTCGGCCACTTCCGAATGGAAATTACGAAGTTGGTGTTCGTAAGTTCTTAAAATGTTTAAATAAAATTTTGTTTGATTATTTATTGGGAATTTAGCTACTTACACACCTTTAAATCAGACATTGCTGATGTTACACATTTTGTTAAACCATTCACCTCAATGGATGAGGAAGCTGCAAATCGCGGAACTACAGTGTATTTAGTCAATAAACGTATCGATATGTTACCTGAGTTATTAGGAACAAGTGAGCATCACGTATTATATAAGAAATTTTATGCTAGCAAATATATCATTCTAAAAACATTTATTATATTTATATATTAATAGATTTATGTTCTCTTCGAAGTAATGTTGATAGACTTGCATTTTCTTGTATTTGGGTAAGTTGTAATTCTTTAACGAATTGAGTTTGTTAATAACCGCTTTCATTTGACCTCGTTTAAAACAATATAGGAACTTACACCCGAAGCAGAAATAGTGAATGTAAATTTCACTAAAAGCGTAATCTCATCTAAGGCATCATTAACATATGAAGAGGCACAAATGCTTATCGATGATACGTAAGTGTAATGTGTTCAGCTTGCTTACTTATTTCTCGTGGTTTATGCTAAGTCGTATTGATTCCTTAGGCGCAAGCAAGATGATTTGACTAAAGGAATTCGAATTCTTAACCAATTGGCTAAAAAACTCCATAAAAAACGACTGGATCGAGGTGCTATAACACTAGCAAGTCCAGAAGTCCGATTCCAATTGGATTTTGATTCCCAAGATCCTGTTGATGTCGGTATGTCGAACGGATCTCTTGCAATGTAGATGGCACTACCTATGTTGCAAGAGACCTTTGTAGAACTATTTAATATACTGTACAATTGATATAGAACATTTTTTAATAAGATTTAAATTAAAATAGAGATGAAAGAATTAAGGGAAACGAACGCCCTTGTTGAAGAATTTATGTTATTAGCTAACATATCAGTAGCTGAAAAAATCTTTTCAAAATTCCCTGCTTCTTCGTTATTGAGGTATATACAAGATATTTATTTATTATTTATTTATTACACATTAAGAATTATTTAAGTAACTTTTTCTGTTTTATAGGCGTCATCCTTCTCCAACACCTACTAAACTTAAGGAATTATCTAATGCAATAAATCGATTTAACTTTTCGTTAGAGTTCGAAACATCAAAAGCTCTTGCTGATTCTTTAGATCGTGCCGTGGTAGGCAAAATAATCACAATAATAATAATACCACTAAATATTTAAATGCTTAATTTCTAATCATTATATTGCTAAATAGATACCCGATAATCCATATTTTAACAAGTTATTAAGAATATTAACAACGAGAGGCATGATGCAAGCTGTTTACTTTTGTTCTGGTACATTACAGTTTCAAGACTTTAGACATTACGGTCTTGCAGCAGAAATATATACTCATTTCACTTCTCCTATTAGAAGATATTCAGGTGAGATATCGTTTTTTAATCGAGAAGATTTTATTCGTAAATATCTTAATAAATAATCTTTCTATTTTAAGATGTCATTGTACATCGGTTGTTACATGCAGCTATAAACTCTGAAAAGAACTATGGTCAGGAGCTGGTAGATATAAATAAGATGCAGAAACTTTGTGATGGTAAACTATCCAATTTTTTTATTTATTTTTTATTTTTTACCTTTTTTAATACTTTATGTTTTCATTGTTAGTACTGAATTATCGCCACAGGATGGCGCAATTAGCTTCTCGCAACTCAGTAGAATTACACACAAATATTTTCTTTAAAGGAAAGATAGAGCAAGATGAAGGATATGTAACACGTGTATTAAAGAACGGATTCATTGTGCTTGTCCCAAAGTATTTATTCCTTAAAAGAGATACTATAACTGAATTAGTTGGTTTCTAATTAAAACCTGTACTAACGTTAATTTTTTGTTCAATAGGTATGGAATAGAAGGAATTGTATATTCATCATCAGCGAACTCAACAGCAAAATCACCAACTACACCACAGGTCGTTTACAACCCTCATAACAATAGTCTTGAATCCGTGACACCTAGTGGCACAGTATCCATTAACTTATTTGATAAAGTAATAGTACAAATTACTGTAGATGAAGATTTAGTTGGTGGTATGAGACAAAAAATGAAAATGGAATTAGTCAGTCCGTTTATTCCTGGTTTGAGTGTATCGGATAATAATTTAAGAAAAAAAGAGGCTCGAATAGACGATGAAGGAGGAAATGGAAAAAGAATGAGAATAGATGATTAATATTAATAGGTGATATATAATTTTTGGTTTTAATTATACGTTATTTGACGTTAATATGATATAAAAATAATTTTCTAAAATATTATACAATTGCCAAATCCAACTATTTATTTTTTTATCTGTCATTTAATACGTGATAAGCTGAAACTGAAATTTTGAGGTTCTTTATGCGAATTTTCAAAACCTACTAAATCCACTCATGTAAGGATTGGAATCGGTTTAGTCGACTAAAAAATTTTTATAGTAAGTTACTATGTTTAGTATTAGTCGACTAAACCGGTCCCAATCCCTACACTCATTAGCAACTATATACATAAATCCTAAAGAATCATCCTAAAAGTCTTTATGATAAAACTTAGCACAACACTTGAACTGATTGCATAAATCATTGATAGTATGATAGTAAATACATTAAAATAATCGATTTATTACAGTTTTCTACGGTTACCAATGTTTTTGTATTAAAGATAATTTCATAAATTCAATCTTGAACGTGAGATTCTTTTAAAAATATTTTTATTGGTATTATAATTACAAATTATATTCGATTAATAAAAAAAAAATATGAAAGCAGAAAGATTTTTAAATGCCAAAAAAAAATAAAATAAAGGTGTGAATTTTATTAAAACGCACCCAAAAAGAGGTTAATGTTTTAATAATAATGATAAATGCAGTGATTTCATTAGGAAAATTATGACCTAATTTTTTGATTGTTGCTCTTGGATCTGTTGCAGCACCTGGAGTAAAAAATATCAATTTATATTTGATTATATGTAAATCAGTATTTTTAGGTCAAATTGTGATCAAATCTATATTTTTACAACTTTATATACAGTTAGGGTTGTATAACTTACTGTAAGTTATTTTTAAAATGTAAGTTACATTTTAAGTTATGTAAGTTACCATGTGAGGT